ATGCAGGAACATTGGTGTTATAATGTGGGGTGAGGGAAGTTGATTAAATGAATAATTTATGAAATTCAGAGATGAGAAATAAATAATATGCAGTTGGGTGGAATTTTAGCTTTTATTTTAAATGAGATTTTTGATTGGGGTTAATCTTTCTGTAAATTCTTAAACCATTTCCGTTCAATTTTGGCTTCATTTCTTCCTTTTATTTTATTTTCACTTTTCTTTGTCTTTCTTGCCTTTTCTTTCTCTTTCCTCAAAAGAGTTTGACCTCTTTCTCATCTACACTATTATTCTGGCTTTCCATTTCCTGTCTCTTATTCTGGTCTAATTCATTCTGGCTTCTCTAACATCTTTCATTCTAGTTAATCTCTCTTTTTAATTTGTGTCACTATTTCTCTCTAATTCTGGTCATTCTCAGTCTCTTTCTTCTTTCATTCTGGTATATCTCTCTCTCTCTCTCTCTTTTCTTGCATTCCGGTATAACTCTCTCTCATTCTGGTATATCTCTCTCTCTTCTTTCATTCTGGTCTTTCTATCTCTCTCTCTCTCTCTCTCATTCTGGTCACTCTATCTCACTCTCTGTCTCTCTCCTTTCATTCTGGCTTCTCTCTCTCTCTCCTTTCATTCTGGTTTCTCTCTCTCTCCTTTCATTCTGGTTTCTCTCTCTCTCCTTTCATTCTGGTTTCTCTCTCTCTCCTTTCATTCTGGTTTTTCTCTCTCTCTCCTTTCATTCTGGTTTCTCTCTCTCCTTTCATTCTGGTTTTCTCTCTCTCTCCTTTCATTCTGGTTTTCTCTCTCTCTCTCCTTTCATTCTGGTTTTCTCTCTCTCTCTCCTTTCATTCTGGTTTCTCTCTCTCTCTCCTTTCATTCTGGTTTTCTCTCTCTCTCCTTTCATTCTGGTTTTTCTCTCCTTTCATTCTGGTTTTCTCTCTCCTTTTTCTGGTTTCTCTCTCTCTCTCTCCTTTCATTCTGGTTTCTCTCTCTCTCCTTTCATTCTGGTTTTCTCTCTCTCTCTTTCCTTTCATTCTGGTTTCTCTCTCTCTCTCTTTCATTCTGGTTTTCTCTCTCTCTCTGCTTTCATTCTGGTTTTTCTCTCTCTCTCCTTTTATTCTCTCTCTCTCCTTTTATTCTTTTCTCTCTCTCTCTCTCTCTCCTTTTATTCTGGTTTTCTCTCTCTCTCTCTCTCCTTTTATTCTGGTTTTCTCTCTCTCTCTCCTTTTATTCTGGTTTTCTCTCTCTCCTTTTATTCTGGTTTTCTCTCTCTCCTTTCATTCTGGTTTTCTCTCTCTCTCTCTTTTATTCTGGTTTTCTCTCTCTCTCCTTTCATTCTGGTTTCTCTCTCTCTCCTTTCATTCTGGTTTTCTCTCTCTCTCCTTTCATTCTGGTTTTCTCTCTCTCTCTCCTTTCATTCTGGTTTCTCTCTCTCTCCTTTCATTCTGGTTTCTCTCACTCTCTCCTTTCATTCTGGCTTCTCTCTCTCTCTCCTTTCATTCTGGTTTCTCTCTCTCTCTCCTTTCATTCTGGTTTTCTCTCTCTCTCTGCTTTCATTCTGGTTTCTCTCTCTCTCCTTTCATTCTGGTTTTCTCTCTCTCTCTCCTTTCATTCTGGTTTTCTCTCTCTCTCTGCTTTCATTCTGGTTTTCTCTCTCTCTCTGCTTTCATTCTGGTTTTCTCTCTCTCTCTGCTTTCATTCTGGTTTTCTCTCTCTCTCTGCTTTCATTCTGGTTTTCTCTCTCTCTCTGCTTTCATTCTGGTTTTCTCTCTCTCTCTCCTTTCATTCTGGTTTTTCTCTCTCTCTCCTTTTCATTCTGGTTTCTCTCTCTCTCCTTTCATTCTGGTTTTTCTCTCTCTCTCTCCTTTCATTCTGGTTTTTTCTCTCTCTCTCCTTTCATTCTGTTTTCTCTTTCTCTCTCTCTTTTTCATTCTGGTTTCTCTTTCTCTCTCTCTCCTTTCATTCTGGTTTTTCTCTTTCTCTCTCTCCTTTTCATTCTGGTTTTTTCTTTCTCTCTCTCTCCTTTCATTCTGGTTTTTCTTTTTCTCTCTCTCTCCTTTCATTCTGGTTTCTCTTTCTCTCTCTCTCCTTTCATTCTGGTTTCTCTTTCTCTCTCTCTCCTTTCATTCTGGTTTTCTCTTTCTCTCTCTCTCCTTTCATTCTGGTTTTCTCTTTCTCTCTCTCTCCTTTCATTCTGGTTTTCTCTTTCTCTCTCTCTCCTTTCATTCTGGTTTTCTCTTTCTCTCTCTCTCCTTTCATTCTGGTTTTCTTTCTCTCTCTCTCCTTTCATTCTGGTTTTCTCTTTCTCTCTCTCTCCTTTCATTCTGGTTTTCTCTTTCTCTCTCTCTCCTTTCATTCTGGTTTTCTCTTTCTCTCTCTCCTTTCATTCTGGTTTTCTCTTTCTCTCATTTCATTCTGGTTTTTCATTCTCTCTCTTTTCATTCTTTCTCTCTCTCTCCTTTCATTCTGGTTTCTCTTTTCTCTCTCTCTCCTTTCATTCTGGTTTTCTCTTTCTCTCTCTCTCCTTTCATTCTGGTTTTCTCTTTCTCTCTCTCTCCTTTCATTCTGGTTTTTTTTTCTCTCTCTCTCCTTTCATTCTGGTTTCTCTTTTCTCTCTCTCCTTTCATTCTGGTTTTCTTTCTCTCTCTCTCTCCTTTCATTCTGGTTTTCTCTTTCTCTCTCTCTCCTTTCATTCTGGTTTTCTCTCTCTCTCCTTTCATTCTGGTTTTCTCTTTCTCTCTCTCTCCTTTCATTCTGGTTTTTTTTCTCTCTCTCTCCTTTCATTCTGGTTTTCTCTTTCTCTCTCTCTCATTTCATTCTGGTTTTCTCTCTCTCTCTCTCTCATTTCATTCTGGTTTTCTCCTCTCTCTCTCTCTCATTTCATTCTGGTTTTCTCCCTCTCTCTCTCTCATTTCATTCTGGTTTTCTCTCTCTCTCTCATTTCATTCTGGTTTCTCTCTCTCTCATTTCATTCTGAGTTTTTTCTCTCTCTCTCATTTCATTCTGGCTTCTCTCTCTCTCTCTCTCTCATTTCATTCTGGTTTCTGGTTCTCTCTCTCATTTCATTCTGGTTTTCTTTCTCTCTCTCTCAGGTTTTTTCATTCTCTCTTTCTGGTTTCTCTCTCTCTTTCATTCTGGTTTTTCTCTCTCTCTCATTCTGGTTTTCTCTCTCTCTCTCATTCTCATTTTCTTTCTCTCTCTCTCTCTCTCATTCTGTTTTTTCTCTCTCTCTCATTCTGGTTTTCTCTCTCTCATTCTGGTTTTCTCTCTCTCTCATTCTGGTTTTCTCTCTCTCTCATTCTGGTTTTCTCTCTCTCTCATTCTGGTTTTCTCTCTCTCTCATTCTGGTTTTTCTCTCTCTCATTCTGTTTTCTCTCTCTCATTCTGGTTTTTCTCTCTCTCTCTCATTCTGGTTTTTCTCTCTCTCTCTCTCATTCTCTCATTCTCTTTCTCTCTCATTCTGGTTTTCTCTCTCTCTTCATTCTGGTTTTCTCTCTCTCTCTTCTTTTTATTCTGGTTTTCTCTCTGTCTCTTCTTTTCATTCTGGTTCTCTGTCTCTTCTTTTCATTCTGGTCTCTTCTCTCTTCTTTCATTCTGGTTTCTCTCTCTCTTTTTTTCTGGTTTCTGTCTCTTCTTTTTCATTCTGGTCTTTCTCTCTCTTCTTTTCATTCTGGTCTCTCTCTGTCTCTTCTTTTTTCATTCTGGTCTCTCTCTGTCTGTCTTTTTTCAAGCTTCTCTCTATCTACTCTTTATTACATTTTGGTTTTCTCTCTCTCTCTTTCTTCATTCTGCTTTCTCTCTCTTCATTCTCTTCTCTCTCTTCTTTTTGGTTTTCTCTCTCTCTTTCTGTCTTCTTTTTTCTTTCTGCTTTCTCTCTCTCTTCTTTCATTTTTTTTATTCCTTTCATTCTGGTTTCTCTCTCTCTCTTTTCATTCTGGTTTCTCTCTCTCTCTCCTTTCATTCTGGTTCTCTCTTTCTCTTCTTTTATTCTCTCTCTTTCATTCTGGTTTCTCTTTCTCTCTCTCTTTTTATTCTGGTTTTCTCTTTCTCTCTCTCTCCTTTCATTCTGGTCTCTCTCTCTCTCTCCTTTCATTCTGGTTTCTCTCTCTCTCTCTCTCTTTTTATTCTGGTTTCTCTTTCTCTCTCTCTCTTTTTATTCTGGTTTCTCTTTCTCTCTCTCTCTTTTCATTCTGGTTTTCTCTTTCTCTCTCTCTCTTTTTCATTCTGGTCTTTCATTCTCTCTCTCTCATTTTCATTCTGGTTTTCTCCTCTCTCTCTTCTTTCATTCGGTTTTTCCCTCTCTCTCTCTCATTTCATTCTGGTTTCTCCTCTCTCTTCTCATTTCATTCTGGTTTCTCCCTCTCTCTCTCTCTTTCATTCTGGTTTTCTCTCTCTCTCTCTCTCATTTCATTCTGGTTTTCTCCCTCTCTCTCTCTCATTTCATTCTGGTTTTCTCTCTCTCTCTCATTTCATTCTGGTTTTCTCTCTCTCTCTCATTTCATTCTGGCTTTCTCTCTCTCTCTCTCTCATTTCATTCTGGCTTTCTCTCTCTCTCTCATTCTGGCTTTTTCTCTCTCTCATTCTGGTTTTCTCTCTCTCTCTCTCATTCTGGTTTTCTCTCTCTCTCTCTCATTCAGGTTTTCTCTCTCTCTCTCTCATTCTGGTTTTCTCTCTCTCTCTCTCATTCTGGTTTTCTCTCTCTCTCTCTCATTCTGGTTTTCTCTCTCTCTCATTCTGGTTTTCTCTCTCTCTCATTCTGGTTTTCTCTCTCTCTCTCATTCTTTTTTCTCTCTCTCATTCTGGTTTTCTCTCTCTCTCTCATTCTGGTTTTCTCTCTCTCTCTCATTCTGGTTTTCTCTCTCTGTCTCTCTCATTCTGGTTTTCTCTCTCTGTCTCTTCTTTTTATTCTGGTTTTCTCTCTCTGTCTCTTCTTTTTATTCTGGTCTCTCTCTGTCTCTTCTTTTCATTCTGGTCTCTCTCTGTCTCTTCTTTTTATTCTGGTCTCTCTCTGTCTCTTCTTTTTATTCTGGTCTCTCTCTGTCTCTTCTTTTTATTCTGGTCTCTCTCTGTCTCTTCTTTTTATTCTGGTCTCTCTCTGTCTCTTCTTTTTATTCTGGTCTCTCTCTGTCTCTTCTTTTCATTCTGGTCTCTCTCTGTCTGTCTTTTTTCAAGCTTCTCTCTCTATCTACTCTTTATTACATTTGGCTCTCTTCTTTCTTTTTCCATTCCTTTCTCTCTCTCTCTTCTTTCATTCCGGCTTCTCTCTCTCTCTTCTTTCATTCCGGCTTCTCTCTCTCTCTTCTTTCATTCCGGCTTCTCTCTCTCTCTTCTTTCATTCCGGCTTCTCTCTCTCTCTTCTTTCATTCATTCTCTCTCTTCTTTCTCGGCTTCTCTCTCTCTTCTTTCATTCCGGCTTCTCTCTCTCTTCTTTCATTCCTTCTCTCTCTCTCTCTTCTTTCATTCGGCTTCTCTCTCTCTCTCTTCTTTCATTCCGGCTTCTCTCTCTCTCTCTTCTTTCATTCCGGCTTCTCTCTCTCTCTCTTCTTTCATTCCGGCTTCTCTCTCTCTCTCTTCTTTCATTCCGGCTTCTCTCTCTCTCTCTTCTTTCATTTTCTTTCTCTCTCTCTCTTCCCATTCCCCATTCAGTTCTCTCTTCTTTCTCTCTCCCCTCTCCCATTCAGTTCGGCTTCTCTCTCTCTCCATTCCCCTCTCTCCCCATTCAGTTCGGCTCTCTCTCTCTCCCCATTCAGTTCGGCTTCTCTCTCTCCCTCTCCCCATTCAGTTCTTCTCTCTCTCTCCCTCCCCATTCAGTTCGGCTTCTCTCTCTCCCCTCCCCCATTCAGTTCGGCTTCTCTCTCTCCCCCCCCCCATTCAGTTCCGGCTTCTCTCTCTCTCCCTCCCCCATTCAGTTCCGGCTTCTCTCTCTCTCCTCCCCATTCAGTTCTCCTCCCCCCCATTCAGTTCGGCTTCTCTCTCTCTCCCTCCCCATTCAGTTCTCTCTCTCTCCCTCCCCATTCAGTTCGGCTTCTCTCTCTCCCCTCCCCATTCAGTTCAGCTTCTCTTCTCTTCTCTCTTTCTTATTCTGTTCTTGCTTTACATAGTCTCTCTTTTTCCATTATCACTACTCATTTTCTCTTCTTCCACTCTGTTTCCTTTTTCTCTCTCTCTTCTCCCACTCTTCTTCCACTCTCTCTCTCTTTCTTCTTCCTCTCTCTCCTTCCACTCTGGCTTCTCTCTCTCTCCACTCTGGCTCCTTCCACTCTGGCTTCTCTCTCTCGCTCAATTCTAGACACTTTTATCTTTCTTTATTCACATACTCTTTCCTTCTCTGTTTCTCGCATATTCCTTAACAGATTCACTCTTTTTCCTCATATGCCTTCTGAAGTTAATCAAAATGGTTTCCATATAAATTGAGTTCATCTTTATTTCATTGAAAACAGAAAAATATTGTCAGAAACGAAGAAAAACATATTGAACTTTTATATGGTATCAGTCTTCCTCTACTCTATGGCAATGAATGCTGGGCAATCTGCTTGAAACTTATAGCAACAAAAATGTGGTTCTACAGGAGGATTCTGGGAATAGCATGGAATGAACGCGTCGGCAATAATGAAATTCTAGGGACAGTGGCAACAAAAAGGACGCTTATACTTAACATCTGGAAAAGACAGTTGAAATTTCTGGGGTACATAAAGAAATAGAACTTGGAAAATTTGAAACTCACAGGACAGATTCAAGCTAAGAGGAATTAGCCAGAATAATATCGGAAATTTCCCAAGAAGGTATTTATTTTTCCATAAGAACCATAAGGCAACACAAAATAGGACAACCATTCCTACCGGCATTGTGATAAAAATCATGAGAAAATTCTTCTTAATTTGGGCTAAGCTTAGTGAGGCACTTCACCATAAGTGCTGTCGTCAGCTCAATCTTTATATGGTGCTCGTAAGACTGTTATTGGGGTGGGAAGCAAAATCTGAGTATATTAGGCAGATGATTTATGTAAATCAAAAAGAGGGTTGAGCTGCTGAGTGACCTCTGAGGGATGTGATGCTTGTGTTTACTGCCAGTGCCCTGGGGGATTAATAATTACCTTCAGGGACCTACCTGTTAGAAAGGATTTTATAATCAAGAAGACCCTTCCAGTGATTCCATAACTAGAGTGTTTGTGTATAAAACGTTTGTGCCACTGCCAGTGCCCCGGGGTATTAATAATTATTTTCAGGGACCTACCTGTTAGAAAGGATTTTATAATCAAGAAGACCCTTCCAGTGATTCCATAACTAGAATGCTTGTGTATAAAACGTTTGTGCCACACCTTGTTGAAGGCCTTCGAAATATCTAATGGTATGGTCCTCAACGTGAGTTTGTTGTCAAGAGCTTCACTAATTCTTTGGGTGATGATAATTAGGACATCAGAAGTAGATTGAGCTGATTAAAACCCATACTGCTCATTGCTGAAAAGGTTGTTCTTCTCTAGGTGCTTGACAACCTTCTCATTGATTATAGTCTCAAAAAGCTTACTGATAATACTGATGGGTCTGTAGTGGGAGGGGGAAGTTTGCATGTCCACATTCAAAATCAGGCATACTCTTGACACCTTCCACAGGCTTGGGAAGGATTTCTTCTTCAGGTAACTGTTGAATAACTTCACTAGGATTTGGGGTTAATTCTGGGTTGATATTCTTAAGGACAACCACTGGAATTTCATTTGAGCCAATGGCTTTCTTAAAGTCGAGGCTTTTAATAAATCTAGAGTCTTGTTCTGTAATGCTAATATTACTGAGAGGTACACAGTGAAACATGGGAAGTTGGAGAGGAATGGTCTTTGTCATCTAATGTTGAGTTTGAGGCAAAGATTGAAGCTAAGAACTTTGCATTCTCTGTCGAAGATATGACCTCAGGTCTATTTATAATTGTGGGCACAGCCACTTTACCTCTGTTCATGATTTGGTTGGTGATATTCCAGAATTCATGGGATCCAATTTGTTTCTTTTCTTTGGCAAGGACAGCTTGGGCATGGTTGCATTTGGCATTTTCTAGAACTTTTTTGCAGCAATTGCAGGCAGTTCTGAATGCAGTCAGGGTCAAACTGTACTATTCCTTGTGAGAGATATTGAAATAGTGGTTCTGATGAGCTATGACTGCAGTGCATTCAGGGGTGAACCAGGGCTGACTGATATTTTTTTTTTTTTTTCCTGGGGTATAAAACTCTCTATTCTAGAAAGGATCCATTTCAAGACATGGGCAGCAGTTTTGGAGTAGCATGCATGGAGACGGTCAAGAGAGAAGCTTCTGTCATATTGGATTGAAAGCTGTCCTTGTCTGCCTTCACATAGAATAAAAATCATTCTCAGGAATGGTACATCGGGATGCCTTAGGTTTGGCGTCAATCTGAACACTTAGTTGGAAATGGTCTAACATGCCTAGTGGAGGTAAAGCATTTATCAGGGCAAGAAGTTAGAAAGCAGTCGATGAAGTTCACCTGATGTTCCATCATGTCCGGGTTCTTCAATGATCTGGGTTATTTCATAGGTGATGGAGAAGTCTCTGCAGTATGTTCCTTCATCAGCAGTTTTGTTTGAGTGGGCTAACGTCTCTTTGTGGTGGATATTGAAGTCACTGCAGATATGAATGCTAGCCAAGGGAAATTCAGTGAGAATATTATCAATCCTCTCAAATATTCAGTTAAAGATTACTGTCCCTTCATTCTGAGGGCAATAGAGAGCAAAGATGAATGTGGTACTATAGATAACATGGTACATGGAAGCACATCACATTTTCCACTTACCTGAGGTGGAACAACTACATTGAAAATAGCTGCATCTACTGCAAGGAAAGTTGGTTCTCTGTGTCGTGCAAGAAGATTTTTCCTGTCTGAGTCCATCTTTCACATCTACAAATCTACCAGTCATCCATCCATGGAATACTGTTGCCATATATGGTTTGGTACCCCCGCTGGTCACCTCAAGGTTCTCAACAAAATCCAAAGACGGATATGCAATGTGATTGGTCCTGACTTGGGATTTAAACTCCTGTCATTTTTTCACTGACTTCCCTCTGTTTTTTCTATAAATATTTTCATAGCATCTGTTCTGACAAGCTATTTTTATTGGTGCTCTAACTGCATGAATTTAAGTGTGCTACTAGGTTGGCATCTCAGTCCCACACTTTTACTGTCAAAACAGTTAAATGTAACTGCTTCTTCTCTTGCACTTCCTGACAATGGAACTCCCTTCCTCTTACTTGCTTCCATGATAACTATATTCTTCAAAAATTTAAATGTCATGTCAATCAACATCTTCTGTTGACTTGATGTCTGTTCTTCTTTTTATCCTCCTCCATTTTCTTTTTATCCTTTCCTCGCTCCCCCCTCCACACACACCAAATACCCAGTCTTTTAGCTTGCTTACACTCTCTGTAGACCCTTACACACTAGTGGCACTCCTGCCTTGCTTGAAGCGAAATGCTTAAAAAAGATATGTGAGATAAGGGTTCTCATTTTTTTCAGTTAGTGCTACAGGAAAACTTATACTTGATGTAGGCTTGGACTCTGTGGTGATTTAGGTAATCGTGTTTTGTTATAAGAGGTGAATAGCCCAGTATTGTGAGCTCCTGGAGTGGGCTTGAGGCATTCATACTAGTTTTAGAGAGATACAGGAGGACTGAAGACGTACTTCCACTTTTGGAAAGTTGTAATGTAGACACCTTACATTGATGTATGAGATGGTATACCTGAGATCTACTTTTATTTTATTTTATTTATTTTGAGGTTGGGTTTGATAGTTTTGTTCATTTTCATTTTAATTGGGTTCATGTGTATATTGGTTGGTGAAAAACTAGTAAGCAGTGAGTCAAACACACCCACAGGAGTTGCATTTGCAAATAATATGGATAGAATCATCTGGAGATACTGCCATAGCAGTACTCTTCATCTTGGCATCAAGCGACCCCACCTGAGACAACTAACTGCATGATCAAGAAACCATCCCTAATAGCAATAATATTATACAGCTGCTGATAGGATAGCCTCTATTAAAGTTGCTCAAAGGTTCAGATCCCTAACTCTTGAGCAGATAATGCCTAAACTCTAACATCTACCTCTAACACCCTTAATGAAACAAAAGATAACTCAGGAAAGAAGATACTGGTATGATACTCTGAGTGTACATGTCTTGTCTCCTCAGAAGTCAAGGCAACAGAATTCCTCCTTGAGCCAGAAACATACCAACCAGAGACCTAAAGGTACCAAAACAAGCTTGCTCATATATATGTAATAAAATTAACATGGCCAGTCAATGGTTTGATGAATGGGGATGTTTGTGAATAAATTTTCGACATCAAGTAATACTAAGATGCCTTGGGTTGGTTTTGTGCTTTTTAGAATTTGGAGGGATTTGTGGGTGGATTTGATGCTGTAATTGGTGGGTAGGTATGAGATAATGATGTCATTAAGGAATTTTGATAGCTCATAGATAGGGATTAAGATCTGGGAAATGATTGGTCATAGTGGGTATCTGGGTTTGAGTGTTTTTACATTTTTATATAAGTATCCAGGTGGTTAGTTTCTGATTATTTTTTTTTTTGATTTTCAGGGAACTGACATCAGCATTATTTGATGTTATGAGTTTGTTGACAGATCTTTTTAGGGTCTCCATGGGGTTTCAGGTTAGTTTGGTGAATTTAGTTCAGCCATCAATGATGTTTTGTAATTTTTTTATGTTAATTGACTTTATCCAAAATTACATGTGTATTAATTTTGTTAGCTTGTCTGATGACAATGTTAGGATTGTTTTTTAGTTCTTTTGCAGCAATTTTTAGTTGTTAGGATATTATTATAGATGTTGCGAGGGGAGCAGTTTTGTAAACCTTCATCCTTGAGGAGGTCTTTCAGGTCTGCATGAATAGCTATATCTCCATGTGCCTCAAGTTGGAATAGTGGTTGGTATAGAACTTCAATTTCAGTCTTCTTTGTAAAGGGGTCAAATTTAGAGTAGAGATGGCAATTTGGTCCTAAATTTAGGAATTCTTTTTGATCATATGTTAATTTATGACAATATAGGTTTGTGTATTTATCGTTGTTGGGGGGTAGTAGAATGTTTCCTTCGTATAGTTTACGTACCTTTTTTATAATTATTTGTCTAAGGTTGAAGTGGTACAGTGCTTCCTTATAGAAACATACACACAGCCCATGCATCCAGTTAAAAAGTAAAAATAAAATAATCCTTGACAATGGCTAAAAGTATAGCCAAAAGCACTTGGAATTACAGAACATTAGGATAGTTTCTATACACTCTGTGTCCAGAAAAGAAAACATTTGTTTGAACACAAGAAAAATTAAATAAAATGCTTAATCACAGTACCCTGTCTATCATCTTTAATGAAACGTGTATAAATGTGGGAATGTTGCCTAA